CTTCCGTTGTTTTTTTTTCGAATTTCATTAGCCGCACACACTGTCACTGGGTATCTTTTCAATATATTTTCTAGCTGGTAATTATCCATTTTAGAAAGTGAACCGAGTCCAGTCAATATCCGTTTTACGCTTCTTAGGCGCCGACGTTTCTATATTGGAATCACGTAATCGTTTTACTTCCGACTTTGCCATTTCAACCGCTTGAGCCACGGGGCTAACCATATTAACCACAGGGCGTTGTGTATTTTGAAGCTTCTCTTCCGTTTCTTTAAGCTTTTTCTCCGTTTCTTTGAGCTTCGTTTCTAGTGTCACGAGCCTTCTACGCGAATTACCGCTACCTATAATGTACCGGCCTCTATGATCGGGTGTCACGTAACCGTCTCTCAAATCTTTAAAATGCTGATACCATTTATCTGGGTCATTTATATACGGCACCCATTTTTGTTGTTTATGATCGTACACCTCTATGGAACCCATGTTGTGTTTTGAAAGTAAAGGAGCAAAGATCATTCTTACGGTATTTTTTTATTCTCCATCTGATATGTGATCTTCATCGTCATCATCTTTATTATTCTCACCATCAATATCCTTGATGTTGTGATTGGGCCATAACGCCTCGAACCGGTCTTTTCTAAGTTTAACGGCTTGTCGGATAGATTCTTCAATGGTCATGTCGTGCTGATGTCTAAGTTTCTTCGCTGACTGGAGAATTTGTTGCTGAGTGGGGTCCTCTTGTAATGCGTAAAAGTCAATCAGAAACTGGGCATAATTTTGTCTCATCTTCTTTCTCAAATGTGGCAACGCATCATTAGCAGTGCGAGCATAAGCCTCATCAAAAGAGTACTCTTGATCTATGTAATTTTTTAGCCCGTCTTTAAATTGTTCTTTACAAGACTGTCGTAAAGGCTTTTGAAATCTTCTATCCCATATGTCATGACGTTTGCGTTCTTCTTTGAGCTCTTCTTTTATACGCTTACCAGGAGGTCCCGTAAAGAAAGACTTTCTTTTCATTCCAATATTTTCGTCGTCTGACTCATCCACCTCCTCCTCCTCATAATCATCATCAACATCATCATTTATAGTATTGTCAGACAAGTTTTCTTCTCCACTAATCTCATTTTCGGAATCATCCGCAGGCTGTCTTTTCCTACCTTGACTTTCAAAAATGTTTTCGCGCAAACGGTCATGTTCTGGAGTAGAGGATTTCAAGTCTACCACTAGATAACCGTGCGGTCTCGATGTCGCTCGTTCGAAGCGTTTCATAAAGATGTTATAGGAGGAAGGATATATTCTCCTCGCTAACGTAGCCACCTGCTGTCTGTCAATAGGGTTATTGAATAATACTAGGTACTGCGTATTCAACGCGATATCTCTGCAGGCTTTTCCTTGAGGAAATAAATTTTGAGTCAGATACACGATAGATATGTTCCTGTGGTGACTGCCTTTGGTAAAAAGATCAGCAATTCTTTGATCGCATTTGGCTTCTGTCATTAAATCGTCAAAAACAATCAAGTTCCTTTTACGGGTATTAATATACTCTTGACTATTCAAGTAGTCGGGGATACCTCGTACAAATTCTATCCAGGGTATACTACGTTGAAGTTCATCGTACAGAGGCTGCCATTGCCCGTAACACCATATGATGCGCTCTGGTGGCGGATTAACTAGATCGGATAAAAGCAGTGTTTTAGTCCATTCAGTTTTTCCACTACCACTAGGCCCGGAGACGACCATGGAAAATGGGTGTTGAAAATTCATCTTTTCTGAAGTGTCCCTATGAGTGATTTGTTGCGATAAAGAATCACTTTTAACAGTGTCGTCACTCCCATGTACATAACGTTGATGTCTCAGCATGACGTCACGTCTTGAGAAAGACTGCTGGCAAACAGAACACTGATTCATTATTAAAGTGGTCACAGAAGTACACTGCGGTATTCTTCCATCTATTGATATGATCATCCTTCTTACGCTGTAGACAGTTTTCTTTGTAATGGCGGCGGTGAAGGTGGCGGCGGCGACGGTGGCGGCGGCGGCGGTGGCGGTGACTAAAACAATTACACTCTTAATTCATGTAATCTCTCCGACTGGGGGTAAGCTTATTTTAGTTATTTTAATGATTTTTACGCATGAGTGATTTTAATTTCGATTTTAGTCCGTATTCATAAAGAGCGGCTTGAGACATTTCATTTGATACCAAACACGCCTTAGATCGGTCCAGGCGTGGTACAGAAAACACGTTTTTACGCTTCAGTGATTTCAGTTCCGGTCCAATGGCTTTTTGAATAGCGTCAGGTAACAGGTGTGGTAAAATGCTTTCCAACGATACCAAACACGTATATATTCGGTCAAGTAATAACGAAGAAATCGATTTTGAAATTTCTGTGACGTCACTTCCGGTGAATTTAAACTCGAATTACTCAAAAACGGTAAAAGATAAACCCATAAAACTATATATTTTCTTAATCAGCGCGACGAGACGAATCGATTGGTAAACAGTTGTAACGTTTTTATTGACTTTCGAAATTTAGGGTTTAAAATCGCTCTTGCGTCATAACTCAAAAACGGCTGAAAATCGAATCGACAATGGGGTGTACATTAAAGGTAATGAACTGTTCTTTCAATTGGTAGTCAACAATTAAAAATCATATCGGATTCGGTTGCTCTAGTAACCAAAATATATATTTTTTACGCATGAGTGATTTTGACTTCCAGTATGAACTTCACTATCGCCAGCGTCAGAATGTACTCGTCAAGACCTTCAATTTGATATCAAACATGACTGTGTTTCATTCATAAACGAAAAAATTATGCGCGTTTTTCCGCATGAGTGATTTTGTCTGCCATATTCAAACTCTCCTATCTCAGAAATAGTAAGAGATAGATCCATATAATAATACATTTTCTGTATCTACTCGCAGAGATCTTTCAAACGGCATATAAATCTAAGGGTTTTATGAACTTTGAAAAATTGGTTTAAAAATCGCTAATTGGCCATAACTCGAGAACGGCTAAAAATCGAATCGAGAACCTAGGGTTTATTTTGAAGCATTCTGTCAGGTCTATCATTTGATGCGAAAAAAATCAAAATGTATATCGTAAAATGTTGCACAAAAGACGAAAAACGCTTTTTCTGTTGTATTTTTGTTCGGTTTTAGTTAACATTAATTATAGTTTTTTTTTATAATTTTGCACATTCGTGATGATCAGTTTTCAAAACATGTTGGCATTTCTTTTCGAAAATGAGTTTAAAATTATGCCCCAGTGGTAAACTGACACTTCAATAGCTTATTGCTTACCCGCTTTTACTTTAGACGGATAAACTTTGACAGTTGAATGGAGCATTGTCCACATATCCGTCCCTAAATAAACATACGCCAGACCGAGTGGCTACTTTAAAGGGATTAACTTTAACATTTCAATAGGCCATTGTTAGTGTTTCCGTCCCTAAATAAACACACGCCATACATTGTGGCGACTTTACACTCGTGATCAGAGCATTTAGAAATAATACACTGATGATTTGTGTCATTTGGATTCGGACCGCCGAGGAGTCAACATCGTATGTATGTATTTTACGCAGATATTTATTAAATTATTTTACAGTAAATGTCCTTATTATTATTTTATATAGAAACGTTATTTGACAGAGTCATAATATCGAATTAAATTGAAAATAAATTTCATATATTTTGTTATATGTTAAAAATTTATAAAGAATCAAATTTAAAGTAATAAATTAATTGTCTTGTTTATAGTATTATAGAGAGTCAATTAGTCAGTCAGTTTTTTAATTATATCTTATTACTAATGTATTTTCTTTAATTTGGAATGTTTATAGAAAAACACATTAAAAATAATATATTAATATTTAGTCAGTTTTTAATTCTAATAAGAAATATAATCAAGCCGTTTGCATTTTTTAAAGAGACTCTACTTTATTCCAACAATTATTTTATTAATTGATATGTGTAGTTAAGCACGTATTTATACAAAGGTTATCTGTAGTTATAATAATGGTGATTATCTCCCCGTCTAGGGCCGAGGACCTGACCTTCAATGTCCGCGATTCAAGCCCTAAGATCGTGTATACGAGTCAGCTCCGTATAATTCCGGGAGATTAAAAATAGAACGATAATGTCATTCTAAAAATAGAACGATAATGTCATTCTTAAAATAGAACGATGATGTCATTCTAAAAATAGAATCCAAAATGGCCGCCGCGCGTCTGTTATTCAACACGGCCGCCGCGTATGTGTAGTGAGGTCATTTATTTTATGCAAATGAGTTACTATCAATAGAAAACAAAATGGCCGCCGCGCATGCGCAGTCTTGGGGCTAAAGAGGCCCATATACTACTATTATGTTTTAGGAAAATGTGCTATGCGAAAATATGATATTATAACTCAATATATCATCACATTGGTCTGCGAATATATTATACACTCATTTTCATTATAGCGCAGTTTATCATTCAATGTGAAACTTCCATAGACATATAATGTGTTCTGATTGGGGAGGGGTGGGGGTGGGCAGGGGGCATTTTTATATTAGCATACAAACAGTAGCTATATAAAAAATACTAGTATTTCCACGGGCAATCACATATCATCCTGGGACATAACTCAAACATGATTCTGTATGTAGTTTGTTTTCCGGTATAATAAAGTGACTGATAGAGAAATAGTAGATACTGCATATTACCCATCGCCTGCATGTTATATCACATACATGTATGTAGCGAGAAGATGGTTCACAATAACTTGCATTCTGTGGGTTGTATTTTATATTCTGTACTTCAAAATCATTGGCAACATGTATCAGCACTCATATTGTGTTATACATATTTGAGATGTCATCACAGAACATGTCCCGAAATATAGTCATATCAAGAAAATATTCTTAGATGAAACACAACCTTTTACCTATTGTTTAAAGAAGGTATGTATTAGATGTCTATGAAGTTGGGTCAATTCTTTATAGAATAAACAACAAAACTGTGCTAGGTACTTTAGAACGTTTAAATTATTCGTGTATGCTGTACATGTATATACAAAACATAAATATAGATTCCTTAGTACAAAATATAATTAAATACACCTATACATATTGTATTCAGTCTTTATATTGTTAATTACAGATTTAAAATCCATAAAAATAGAATATGCATATTATGTAATGGACTACAACAACATTTCGTGTATTCATGTTCCTTTTCAACTGTTTTCTAATGTCTGATTTTCTCACTTGTCAAATAATGTTCCGCAATTTATCCATTTTCTTCCGTACATCTTTATACATATGAAAATATTCAGTAGTTTGCACAGACATAAAGGAACAAAAAAAATTGCAATACTCTAACATCACTGTTGTACTGAATAGTGCACGGAAAAAAATCTTATGAGCCGCGCCATGACAAAACCAACATAATGGGTCCGCGCAGTCTGATCAGGATCCATGCTGTTCGCTTACCCACTCTATAACAAGTAGAGAAACTGAACAGCATGGATCCTGATAAGACTGCGCGGATGCGCAGGCTGGTCTGGATCCATGCTGGTCGCAAACGCACTATGTTAGTTTTGTCGTGACGCGGCTCTTATATTGATGTTTAAATTCCAGTGTTGGTTAAAGCCCCAGCACCACCACCATAACCGTATCCTTTAGGTCCAAAGCTTCGTCCGTAGCATGCCTTGCAATAAATCTCATTATTTTCCTTTCTCTCTGCCACGGTTTTACTGTCGAGTGACTTGTTACAGTCGCCTAAAACATAACAAACAAAGATACACCAAGTGTATTTTAATGGCATCAAAATCTCCAAAGTAGTTTATGGGATCAACATGTTAAACAGAATTCATTCATTATCAATCATCATCATCATCGTCATAATCATCATCATCATCACACCACCATCGTCACCATCATCATCATCATCATCATCGTCACCACCATCATAAACACAACCACCACAAACACAACCACAATCAAAATCATCATCATCATCATCGTTATCATCACCACCGTCATCTCATCATAATCATTAATATTATTATGAAATTTTGTATTATTGACATCAACATTATCACATCATCATTATCATCATAGTCGTCGTCATCATTAACACTATGATGTACGTAATAATAATATTATAATGTACGTAGTATAAAATATTCTTATGTATATAGTATTAAATATACTGACTAACATTAGATTGTACATGTTCGTAGTATTAACCAGTATTAACATAATGATGTACGTATAATCATTCCAATGTTCGCAGTATAAGCATCATAACGTAAATCTACGTAATAAAACTTAATATGAGCCGCGTCACGACAAAACCAACATAGTGGGTTTGCGAACAGCATGGATCCAGACCAGCCTGCGCATCCGCGAAGTCTGATCAGAATACATGCTGTTCGCTATCAGTTTCTTTTCTTGTAATAGAGTTGGTAAGCGAACAGCGTGGATCCTGATCAGACTGCACGGATGCACAGGCTGATCTGGATCCATATGCTGGTCGCAAACCCATTATTTTGGTTTTGTCATGGCGCAGCTCAATTATTAAGATTATAGTGTACGTAGTATTAACATAATGATGTTCGTAGTATAAAATATCATGATGAACGTGGTAAACTTACGGCACGTGAAGCAGCCTCGTTTGTGAAAAGAAGTTCCGGCAGCGATTATTTCCTCATTAGCATACACTGATTTATCGCATCGTCCGCATTTCTTTCCTCCGCCAAATTGAGGCATTTTATCTGTAAATATATAATAATATGGTTAAAAAGAAAAGAAAAAATTCCCCATGTAGCTTGACAAGTTTGACAAAATTTCACATTTTCTGTGTTTACTTTTTATAAATTCATCCGTCAATTTTTAAAAATTGGTTTCAAACCATAAAATTAAAGATCCTGTATGTTGTGATAAAAGTGGTAAACCACACTCAGTGAAATTATTTTTATGTACATAATTATGCAAGTAAAACAATTTTCAACATCAAAGAATACGTAAAATATGTACTGCAAATATTTGTGCATATTATAATATTATGTTATCATTAAAATATATGCACTCATTTCTTATTGTATAATTTGACTTCAGTTTATAGAAAATAAAGTTTTTATTAGCTCCCTTTATTTACATGAATGTTAAATTCGGTAAGATCTTTATAAATAATGCTTTTTGGGATCTACAATATTGATAAATCTTAATTTGAGCATCATATTTATGATTTAAAACCATAAAAAAATTAAATTGTGTAACAGGGTCTCTAAATTCATTTTTATGACAAACTTATTTGTAAGATTGCAACACAGTCAACGGTTTTACAATTCAATTATTAATCATGTAATTAATTAATTAATTAATTAATTCATTCATTCATTCATTCATTCATTCATTCATTCATTCATTCATTCACATAGGCATTAAAATGTAGCAATTAATGCAATAAAAGTAAACATGGACATATCTTAAAACAATAAATAAACAAAAGTATAAATTATACTAATATGTATAACATACAAAATCTATCATTAATTATTTTGTAGAGTGTACTGGCAGATATATGCCATATCGTTATTCCGATTTTTCGCTACGAAAATACTATAATGCGAAGACACGACTAAGTCAAACATAGTGTTGACGACACATCGTGTTTTCGCATTGTCGGATTTTGTAGAGAGCATCACTTGAAAGCAATAAGTTCCGTTTATTTAAAATATCACTCAAGAAATCAACTTATGGACGATACAAGTATAATGTCATTTCTATCGTAATGTCAGGGGAAGTGAAATATCACAAGTGCATGTTTTTTTTTTATCTACTTGAATAAACGCAGTGCTTTCAAAATAAATGATAAAAGTGCGTAAGTATGGGCAAATTAGAAAAAAAAACTACAAATGAATAAGAAATAGTGAGCAAAAAATCTAAAACTCATCAAATTCAATCACTATGTACTAGATTTAGATAAAAGCTAAAATTTAAAAATGTCAATGCCAATTATTACTGATACAATTTTGCATAATATTCTTAACGAAACGTATAAATACTCCGCCCTTTTTTACTTTCCGTATAACATGGTCTTTCAAAATGGAAGTCTAATTAAATTGAAAATGTGTTTTATAACAATTAGCAATTAGTCGTCTTTTTTGTAATTTTTGAATGACTTTGTTGTACTACCAATCATGTAAACCAAATAATAAGTCAATATTCTCGTCTGAGATAAATGTACTTTTGAGATCCATCTTAAAATAAAATAACATCATCTAAAGAGAAATAAATTCTAAAAAAGTGGTGTACCTTATGTAGTCCTTGGATCTGGAAGCGACGTGAAAGAGAAGAGCGAGAATAGCACCTGTGTATAACACAGAAATGCTTACCTTTATATACTAACTCTGTGACCATGCAAGTTTAAACTTATAGATATCTTTTGAATAAAAAATCTTTATATTAAGGAAAAGTAACCCGATTATCTTGGATACTATAGAGAATATTTTATTCTGTCAATAAACGGCATAATGATATGTAATGGTGACGCCATATGGACACCCAATATTGATGAAAGAGCTTTTTCAATAGATGTATTAAGATTATACGATTATCATATATAATAGTACAATACTTAAGAATATTTTGAATTTAATATCTTTACAGTCATTGACCTGAACGAATTTTACATCGTAGCTGATTCAACTTAAAGATGTTAACAGGGTCAAAAGAGGATCAATTTTAAAATGTTTACAATCCCCATATGAAATATTAAAAAATATGCAAATTAGAAATGACACGTTTATAGACTAAAGTTAAGCATGACTGAAGTTAATGGATAATTTCATGATGACTGAGCCGCGTCTTGACAAAACAAAAATAGTGGGTCTGCGACCAGCATGGATCCAGACCAGCCTGCGCATCCGCACAGTCTGATTAGGATCCATGATGTTCGTTTACAGTTTCTCTACTTCAAGTCTTGTAATAGGGTTTGTAAGCGAACAGCATGGATCCTGATCAGACTGCGCGGAGGCGCAGGCTGGTTTGGATCCATGCTTGTCGCAAACCCATTATGTTGGTTTTGTCACGGTACGACTCATGTTTTTTCATGAAAAAAAAACTTTATAAAATTGTTATAAAGAGTATAAATGTGGATATCACAAAAATGAGTATGGATCAATAATATACAAACTTTTCTTTTGGGGAAAAGCAATGAAAATTGGTACATGTATATTTTTTCCATAGCATTTAAATTTCAGTATCATAAGGAAATTACTAACTGTACAAACATATGTATTTTTTATGTAAAGGTCACGTGATGTTTTGGAGGATATTTCAACCGCTTTCATACACTATGTACTATGTTTCAGGAAATGCACGTGCAGACACGTGAGTTGCTGCAGACGATAGCTACATTAGAGATGTACCGGGATCAAAGAGAAGTTGCTAACTACATGGAACTCGCTTACCTAAGGCTTGCTGATCACCCCGATCAAGCCAGGGATGTAAGGAAATTTGTGGAAATTGAAGAAATAACCACTATCAAATTCTCTTAGATAATTTTCCATGTAAAAGGGTTGCCTATTTTAATTTAAAACTACCTATAGTTAATAAGAGATTTTTATCATTATTTTCTTTTTGAATACTGTAGAAAAATATATAAAAATACAACACATTTTCTTGTTATTCTGTCACACATGACAGGTTGAATATATCACATACGTGTACATATTTTCGATCTCTGACAAACGGTTCAACATAGAGGTAAAAAAACCTTCCGATTGCTTAGACGTTTCAGCCATACATTGCAATGTCATAACCTCGACAAAGTATATACAGAGACACATTAATATAGAGACTGTAAAAAAGATTGCAAATATTCGTTTATAACGAGTGTGATTTCTCTTGTGTGAAGGAAATATTATAAAAATGCTGTTTAAAACTACAAAACAATATATGAAGTGTTAATTCCTCTGCATTCATGCTTATTACACTCCTGACTCGACGTGTTAACAGACGTACCTTTCATACCTTTATTGTGCAAAAGCTTCTGACGGAATTGAAATAGCGTTCGAAAATATGGAAATAAAAATTTTGGAGTCCCCTTCTTCACAATATCATGTTTTAAAGCCACTGACCTCCAGATGGTAAAATGAAAAAAAATGTAATAGAATTTCAAGTAAATGGAAAATACTGATCTAGTCAGGCTTAGTGCATAAATCGATCATTAATACCACCTTAATTCAAAAAGAATGTAGACGAAAGCCTTATAACCGCCTCCGTGGTCGAGGGGTTAGAGTCGATGACTTCTAATCCAGTTACCTCCTTGGCGTGGGTTCGATCCCCGGGAGATGCTTTGGTAGTTTAGCGCGGAGGAAGATAGTCTAGTACTGGTGTAACTCTCAGGGAACAATGGTTAGGACACTACCCACCTATAGACCCTTTCATTTAAGCGATAACAGTCAGTGAAGAGTTACTTCCCTTACCGGATGTGACGTAAATGGGGGATGAAACTATGCATGCCGCATAGAAAGTTAGCTTATTGAAAAGTTAAATGCGTAAATACTGATCGTTCAATTATGATTATAACATGTAAAAATGTACGCATGCATACATAAATTCAATATCAACACAACAGAAAAAAATACAAAAGCATAAATTGAGATTAATTCTCGCTACCACGGATTTATAAATCCCAAGTGCACGGGGGAGGAAGTGTTACACGAAGGATGGAGTTCTTATGATAACTTGTTTGGAGTTCTTATGATAACTGTCACGGAGTTCCTGGAAAACGTTACGGATTTCTGTGGAAAACTTTTCTATATACTTGGAGAACTCATGTAAAAAATGGTCATTTTTACCTTTAAATGGGGGGGGGGTGCTAAATTAAACTTTGATAATTAAGCTTGCCCTACATATTGTAATGTGTTTCAGAAAAACCGTTTTAGTCCATTTTCATCGCCTTTTAAAAAATCTGGTAGTTTTGAGTAAAATTTCTAAATTACTTGCTCATTCATACATATTGACCGTTTCATTTGTGATCATCTACGTTTCTATACTTCATTACCTAATTAAAATGGAGAGTTGCAAACATAAAGCCCAGGCTAATGAATTTATACCCGATTTTTCAAATGTCATGGAGTTTATGCGATAACTCTTGAAATATGTCCTGGAGTTCTTATGATAACTTTTGTTACTGCCAGTGTGTTTCTTGTGCTTAATTACGGCACATTTAAGCGTATTTTATTAGTCAATAAGTGTGTAAATCATTATGAAGCATAGTACGCGTATCATTTGCACACACATTTGGTTATATAACGTTGATTTTGAGCGTATTTCAGTTCAAGAGATATTTTTCTTACCCCGTTTCGTGTGGGTTTTTTGTGTTTTTTGTGTTTTTTTTTTTTTTTTTTTTCATTTTATTGGAATGACTGAAAACATACTTGATGTAGAGCATTTACTTACAGGATAAAAATACGCTTTGCATTTAATATTTAAGCATGATTTCTTCACGTATACATTATTCCTGGCAGTTTTAGAGAACATTAAGTAATTATGCTATCGGTCTGCCGAAACAAATTACATGTAAATGGTTTGCAGCAAAATAGGAAGCAGTATGTACTACATTTATCTAAATTTAAAGAGGTGGGTGTCATCTTTATGTATTCAATGGATATGTATTCAATGGATATCTTTATTTCTAAAAGGTATAAATTTTGTCATAGAAACGTTTAAAGTTCTATTAAAATGATATGACAATAAAAAGTAAGTCTTTAATAATATATGTGAGTCACCATGGTTCATGCCGTTTCTTTCTCTATTAAATCCAATGAAGCATCACGTGACGTACAGAAATCTCCATATTGCGGAAAAGTATTGCATACATTTTTCTTATCAAAGTTGGGAGTCCTTCGGGCATTCCCCCTAAATAATCCTAGTTGTGGAAACTTTTTCTGTAATTGATAACAAAAATATATTGTCGAACTTCCTTCGCTCCAACCCGTAGGGCACGTGCAAATCTGTTGAAGAGATCGATAGTAATCGGTTGATTTTTTATGTTTAAAAAGATCATACATTTCGGGTGCATGAGTGTGAAGGATATCCCAGATATTTATTTGTTGTTTATGGTATAAAATGATACAAATTACTTAGCCGCTTCTTGAGGAAATCCCAACTGTATATTGTCTGCTTAAGAAAGGCGATTGCTTAAAACATGTAACTGAGAAAAAAGTTTAATTTTTTAACATTTTTTGCTTGGAGGGTTAAGCCATGTTTCTGCTGAATACAGGTGACCGCTGGTTCAGCTGTTCCTGAAGATAGCCCATAATTCACCTGTTTATCCTTTGTAGACTGTTTCATGTTCAATCTATTCTTAAAAAATTTGGGGTTTTCTGACAGCCGAATCCTGAAAAAATGACAGTTACCTAAAATTTACGTGCACACCAAGCTATATAAATGTACCGCATATTCATCATAATAACGATATGCATGTCTATTATGCGACTTATATATTTCTCTGTAGTTGCTGTAAATTCAGCGTTAACATAAAACTTTATATACACAGAAACATTTAGTGCATTCGTTCTGTTTTATAATGTAAATATGAATTCGCACAGATTTTATTAGAAAAATATCTTTTTAACTAAAACAAGCTCAAAACCAACATTATATATTACTTATTTTTGTGTTAGGCTGAGAGTATAAAGTTTCATGATAATTTAAACACTTATTAAATAATAAAATTCGCGTAAACGTACCGTAATTAAGCACAAGAAACACACTGGCAGTAACAAAATTTATCATAAGAACTCCAGGACATTATTTTGGTTATCACAAGAACTATTCCGTGACATTTGGAAAAATCGGGTACAAAAATTTATTAGCCTGGGCTTTATGTTTACAACTCTCCATTATCATTAGGTCATTAAGTAAAGCAACGGAGGAGATCACAAATAAAAAGGTCAGTATGTACGAATGAGCGAGTAATTTGGAAATTTTATTCAAAACTACCAGATTTTTTTAAAAAGACGATGGAAAATGGACTAAAAGGTTTTATTGAAACATAATCTAATACGTAGGGCAAGCTTAATTATCAAAGTTTAATTTAGCACCTCAAACTCCCCATTTAAAGGTAAAAATGACCATTTTTTACGTGAGTTCTCAAAGTATATAGAAAAGTTTTCCACAGAAATCCGTAACGTTTTCCAGGAACTCCGTGACAGTTATCATAAGAACTGCAAACAAGTTATCATAAGAACTCCATCCTTCGTGTAACACTTCCTCCCCCGTGAAGTGAAACAGCGAATTTTCAAAGTTAGATATATATTTTCTCAAATGCCAGGATAAAAAGCTAGTAACTAAATCAAATTTACAGAAACCATGCATAGCTATATCCGATACGAGAATAATTTCATTTAACAGGGTACATATTGGCTGTGATATCATAAATCACCAGGGTGCATTTTTTTAGAGTCATAACATTACATCAGATTACGTCACTTTTGTTAGTTGTCAAAATATTTATGGTCCGAATTTTGTTATGGATCATCTAATCCTAGGGACTTTATTGGTCATGCCTTACTGATCTGATACTCGATCCAGAGCCCTACCAACTGACACAGTCAAAAATACGTAAAAATATAATTCAGTTAATAACGAATTTCTGTGATCGTGTTTCACAACTTGTTTTTGTTGTTTTTTTGTGATTTTTTTTAAATGTTTGATAAGCAGAGTATGAATTAAAAAGTATCGAGTTGAAAATATTACTTTACCAGTTTAAAATGTATTGGTGTGATGTACGATTTTTTGAGAGTGCATTTTTTGCCGACACAAATAGTATACAGTCATGTACATTCAAATGAATTTTTACTTTTTATGCCTTTACATTTTTTTTTGAAATTACATAGATTTATATTGTTTTCTTTTCTTAGAAATGCTTAAATCAAAATTATTTTTAATATACTAGTATCTTGCAATTAATTATTACGCAGCCGTTTTTCGAAACTACAGAATCCTTACATTTTTGAAACTCAAAATATCTTTTGGGTATTGTATATTAGCAGAGACATAGATACATTATCTATATCTCTGGTATTAACAAGTTAGTACGATTTAACTGCCTGGTAAAATTTTCATTATTAAGAATCTAACGAAAATGGTAATCATGATCAGTTACCCAGGAATATGGTCTACTATTAAAACAAATCGTTAACCATATTATATATATAGTAAACATATTTATTCATTTCACCATTCTTTTTATGTAATATCTTATTCAATTACACAAAATTTTGGCAATTTCAATCTGCCAATCTTAAAAGAGAAAGGATTAAAATCCATATATCCCTCTATAATTGTACTTAATCGTATCGGCATTGTCCACCGTATCCCCCAATGACGTCATCCAAGGGCGACAACTTGAATACGGTCTTAAATGAAAGGGTCTATATGACTGAAATACTGTTGGAAAAAGGCGTAAAATGAAACAAACAAACAAACAAACAAACAAACAAACAAACAAACAAACAAACGAAAGCCTAAATATATCGGGTTTTTTCTGTCCATAATCTACTACCTTACTAACGCAGTAGCCAATATAAATAGGAGAAGATAATTCATTTAACGCGGTCACGTGTCACAACAGTGATCCGGAAAAATCCCGGTATCCGGTATGCCCGGGATCGTTTATCAATTTTCGTCATTAAGTAGGCTCCTAGCACATTTCAAGTCAAAGGTTAAATCGATAAATTTGTCATCATATATATGAAATAATTAATCAATTATAATTTTTAGTGCCATGAATTACTACAAATATAAAAACAAAAGCAGTTATTCGTATCCCTTTACGTTTGATAAAATCCCGTATTTCGTGCGTTCCGGAGCACTGATCGCGATATTGTCCTGTACGATCACGTGATACTAGAAAAAAAAACCCGGATGAAAGAATTCCGTGGTATAATAAAAGAAGGTATTTCCCGTTGATGGAAAAGCGAACTGTTTGGTTTCAGAGCAATTATGTTAAGATATAAACATTTTGAAGTGTCATTTCAATTTCTTTCAACTGTATAATGTTTTGAGGGGGGATTTTGAAAAATTAGCAAGAGGGCAGGTTTTCTGCTATTTTCTGGAGGTCAGCTGCTTTAATGTTGTTGTTGTTTTTAGGTTCGCATGACGGCGCACTCAGCTCGAACTCAGCACATAATGACTGCAGGGCTTATGAAGAAGTTTACAGTGACAACAGCTCATATTGTCAACACATTGATTCCGATGACCCTTGATGCCGTTACAGAACTTCAGGTTCACATAACACTTCAACACTTACATACCTAGCCTGGAATTCAGGCGTTGATATTTCTTTATTTATTCATAACTTTCGCGCTACTTCATACTCGATCGTCATAGATAACACAACATCTCTGGTTTTGATAGTATCAACAGAAGCACATAAAAAATCGACAGACTGGAACCCAGGCTATTACATACCTATCTGGAAGAATTGTAACTGTAATAAAAGGCAACAACCAAAAACAACAAGAGGAGAACTAAAATTTGGCTTAAACATATTTTTTAAGTTCGATTGCGAAACAAGTTCTTGCAACTTATTTTAATCACTTTCGAGTCCTCTTCCTGGAACCAGCCAATACTGGTGTCATATGAAGAAACATGGCCGTGGCCAGTTAATAGTGTCATATAAAGAAACATCGCCGTGACCGGACTAGGAATCGAGTCCATGATCTCTGGGTTGAGAGACAGACACCTTAACCACTTGACCACCGCTCCCCTTAAGCGTTAATACTTAACAACTATAATTATATATACATGTACTACATATTTTATGATTTATTTGTACTAATGTGCGTTTAAATTCATTAACACTAAGAAAAACATAAATTATTTTTCAGTTTTAATGCTTTGTAGTTTTCACCAAACTATTTCGTAATTTTGTAGAGTGGAGAAGTTGTGAAAGAAATATTTGGTCAGATAATTGAGATCGCTGAAGAAATGAAGATAGAGACCGAATCGACACAGAAAAGGTTAGACTATCTAGTATATTTTCACAATTTTAACCCAATTAAGAATTATTTTACTGTAACATAACATTGTTTGTTTAAATGTAAAAGCGAGTTTGTCATTTCTGGCTTTAAGATATCATTAGATAAAAATTATTTTTACATCTATTGTCATCTTAATATACAGACTGTTTTAAAATTCGCCAAATATTGCTTAATAGCTTTTCTAAAATAAATAAAATGGAGACCTTCCGTACACAGCAGAAAATGAAAAATGTTGCAGGCTCGCGTTTTTGAACGGTATTTCACACCCCTTTGCGCTGGCTTAAACTAAATTCAACATTTAAGTATGGAAAATGGTGAAATTTAGAATGTAGTAACATGCTATCATACCAACCTTGAATGTTACACTTTAATATTGGTCTATGTTAAATGAAAAATCCTGTAAAATGCTTTATATCTGATACAGATATCTGGAGATACAAGCACAAATTCAAGAAAACATGGCGAGTGTAAGTAAGCGAAACAAGTATGTGGTCGATCAGCAGAAAAAGTTGGGTTTTCAAATGGAGAGAGAACAACAGCTCGCCAGGGCGGCGGAACTTGCACAGGAAGAATTGAATGAAGAAAAGAAAAGAATGGAGGAGGAGTTAAAACTATTACAATCCAAGCGCGAACAATGTTGGGAAAATACTGGTAAAACAAGAGCGATCAGTGATCACATGTGTCGCCTCATGATGGCCAATTTTATGTTGGGACAAGTTTTGTGACAGACAGACAGACGGACAGTGCACAACTAGACTTGGTACTGATCATTCCTGTAAAGTTTGGATAAAATTGCACGAGTAGTTTATGAGGAGTAGTCCCGACAAGCTTTTGTGTATCTGGCAACACACAGAAAAAACACCTTTTTATAACTCCGCCAAAATCATTCAACCAAAAAACCCGTGCAATATGCGCAAGGACTTGAGCTACAGATCAATCCTGTAAAGTTTCATTGAAATTGCATTAGTGGTATAAGAGAAGTAGTCCGGACAAACTTTAAAAATAAAAATTATTAAAGGGCCGTAACTCTGACAAAAATCATTGAACCAGAAAATGCTGACAAAATGCACAATTAGACTTGGTACTGATCATTCTTGTAAAGTTTGGATGAAATTGCACCAGTAGTTTATGAGGAGTAGTCCGGACAAGTTTTGTGACGGACAGACAGACAGACGAACAGACAGACGACGGAGAAGTGATCCCTATATGTCGCCACTACTCCGTAGAGGCGACACAATAAACGTGATCATTAACATTACCTTCTCGTGAATTATTTGTACATACACGTAGGAGTATGATTCTTGTTACAATAATGATAATACAAAATGTAGTTTAAAATTATATATTTTAATAGCTAGGTTTGGATGATTTGTGCCATGTCGTATGTTCGCTCCGTGGGGCACCAGACGAAAACACGAACTTGGAGCGGAAGTTGACTTTGTCGTTCCTTTGTGTTTTCGCCGTTCCGTCCCTTGGAGCGAAAATACGACATGGCACAAATCAGCCACAATATGTACCACATATGGTTATTCTTTCATAATTTCTCAAAATTTCATTTTACACATCAATCTTGAAATGTCTGTATTGATTGTATTCTTACGATGTAAATTATTGCATTGTATAAAACATTATACTTAAAAAATAAAGATAGCTACAATATGTTTTATTATTCACCTTTTATATTTTCATAGAGAAAGCTCGTATAGAATCAAAAGACTCGAGCTCAGGGCGCACTTTCTTGGACACGGCACTATCGCCGGGACCGGCGCTATCTGGGGGTGTAAAGCAGGGTGTAGCCCTCAGTTTGGTCTCAGCAACTGTCAACTTCTTCACTGGATTGTTTAATTCCGACAAACGCTCTAACAATGTGAGATGAGTTTTAATTAATGAATGATCCTATTATCCGGAATATAATATTCTGAATAGGTTACCGTCATATGTATTTATCCAAGAAATACCTTAATTATTCATTTTTTTATTAAAAAATAGTTCACCATATTTTCTAATAAAAAAGAGCGTCCACCCATTTCAGCGTTTTAGAATGGTCGCATTTAGTTTGCTTCTTTTATAGAATCTGACCACCTTTTGCTTCCGTTTCCTTAATAAAATAGAATTAACACAACATCAATTAAAAATTGATCAATACTGTTTCTATTATAAATATAAATGATACATGGAGTCAAACGATTTCAGTTTTCAAAATTGATGGACGCTTACAAAGAAAGTCAGTCAGCTGTGGACCGGACTAGTGATAAACGTTTAGATGTTATAATGAGGATGCAGACACAGCGGAAGGAAGCTCTTGAGCGTCTGGCAACATTGAAAAGGCTTGGAAATGAAACAGGTATTAAAAGAGAGTGAGAGTAAAAAGGTGTTGGAGCACCACACCAAATACCATATTCCGGTACATTCCGGACAAGGCGCTTGAATGATTAAATGCTAAAGTCTCGCCTTTTTATCCGCCTATTTGCACTCAAAGCATTCATTTGTTCACACCTATTTATATATTTTAACGATAATGAATGAAACTGTAAGAATCGGTGAAAAGAGCTTCTAGAGGCACTGCTCTAACACCGTAGTGAGTTAAATCCATGAAAAGAATATTTTAAAAAGTCCTGACTGCTTCGTTGTAGAATTTAAACAACAATTTGGTTCTTTTGCAAGATTATTGCAAGGATAAATGTTCCCTTTTTTGTCGGACAGTAACAAAACTTACAAACCTGCATCAAAATAGGGATAAGAATAGTATACTCCCCGATCCTGCACATTTTGTTAATGTACTTCAATAAATAAAAAGCAAACGTGTAAAAATCTATTTTAAGCACCAGTGACCTTAACCTTGACCCAAGTGACCATTCACTTCACCAAAAGTTACAAAAATACAATTGGAAATAAATAAATGTTTAAACCAACTTCCAAACTATTAATGATAACCCATTGAAACATTGCACAGTTGTTGTGAAAGTGCAGTGTCAAAT